GGGCGCCTGCACATAGTGCACTTGACGTTAGAGAATGATTAAATTTAAATTACCCGAATCGCTGGATTGGTCGTGGTCGTGATGCCCCTATTTGTTGGTCTGCACGTTCACCTGACCTAACGCCTATGGATTTCTTTTTGTGGGGACACATAAAAAGTATTGTTTTTGTCACTCCTGTTGCCTCCTTAGAAGAACTATGCTTAAGAATATTTCAGACAGCAGATGACCATCGCAATAACCAAGAACTGTTTGTGCGAGTGCGTTATAACTTCAACAGACGTATTAGGTTATACATGTCCCATAGTCATAAGTTATCAAACATTTTTCATTAATTAATAGCAAATTATTCTTAATGTTATTATTAAATTACCAGCTTATTTACATAAAGTGTCAATTTATTAATATGATAAATAACAATTTCTTTGTTATGACATCCGCCTACTTTATTTTTAAAATTTTCGCAATTACCCCTTTAGTGAACGATAACGCATCTAATTTTTTTTACTAGAAAACTATCGGTTTTATCGAAAAATTACAAGAGGTAAAAAAGTTGCACCATGCATCAAAGACTATTTTTCGGTAGAGAACCTTTTCCCACCCATAAATACCTTCAGAGAAGAGAAAATATGAAAATCAGAAGTTGCCTGATCAGGGCTGTGAATGGGATGGTTGGTGATGTTCCAACCGAATGAATCCAAGAGTTGCTTTGTGGCGTTGGTTGTGTGGAGACGTGTATTCTCGTGCAACTAGCACACTTAGTTCCCTTCTTTTCTTCTGTGTCGCCCTCCGAAGTGTGTTCAGGGTTTCACAGTACCGCGCAACATTAATTGTTTCCTCCTGGGACAAAAAATCAACGAGTACATCCCTAAACATAGCTGCTATGATTTTTTCGTTGATGGTGAAGATGGATGCATTGATTGTCTTTTCGTCTCAGGAGACTAGTGGGCCACCCACGTTTCGTCTCCAGTCACAATATACTCGAGGAATTGTCCACTTTCCAGTTCGAAGCTCTCTAGAAATTCCCGTGAAGATGCTGTTCTGTTAGCTTTGTGTTGATACATGAGCTGTTTTGGGAACCACCTGGCACCCAATTTCCGGTAACAAAGTGTTTCAGTAATGATTTCAGGCAGACGAGACATGGTTATTTGTGGAAACATTGCGTTCATCTTGTCCAAAGTTAATCGACAGTAGCCACGATGCATTTCATCCTGTTCGTCATTTCACATTGAGGGACGCCCACGCGTTTGTTCATCATGAATATTCGTTCTGTCAGTTTTATACTCACGACACCACTTGTACGTATTAGTACGATCCATACACTATTCCCCTAAACAATTTCGATTTCGTTAAAAATCTGGAACGGCGCTGGCGGGATTCGGAATAGCGGAACTCATTTCAACACGCCACTACAACAACACTTTTCAACTGGCTGCGACAAATGAACGTGCGTTCTGCTCCCAACACCTTCGCCTTGAATGCAGTGTTGCCAACTTTGTCGAAAACAAAAACCACAGAGCATCAGAGTTTCAGTAATTTAAAGTATCAAAAATATCGTGTGAGTTGTCCATAGGTTCACATTCAAAAGTTTTGAGGATAGAAAGTCTGAACTAATGGACGAAAAGTAGATTTTTTTTCTTTAAATCGAATAATGCAAAGTATGCTTTTTACAACTTCTGAACACGTGTAAAATGTAAACAAAAAAAGTTAATAAATGTAAAAGATATGTGAAAAAAATTTAAAAAATAACTTTTATTTCGAAAAGTAAGCAATGTTGTATACAGGCAAATGAAATTGAAATTACATCATTCTTTCTCTCTAGAAGGAACTCGTAAGTATTATCCCCATCTTACACATTCCTCTAGAAAATTTTCAATAGTAATGGCAAATCTATGATTTCTGTTACAATTAAAAGAAATTCAAATAGAGGCAGTTCCTTTTAAAGACATCAACAGCAACAAAACCAGCAAAGGAATCGTAACTTTATCAGTTACTTATTATTACAGTAAAATATAAAAATTGATTACATTTTGAAAAAGTAGTAAGACTATTGAATATTAATTTAAACTATTGTTGTTTACTAAATAACGTATTCGATTCGATCTCTGACCCACATTATAACTTTTTAACATCTAATTATAGCAGAAATATGCATTCGGGGAAAACCTCAAGACATTTAATATTAAAACTGAGCAACCTCCGGGAATCCCTGCTGCTTGTTTCTAAAATACGGCATCTAGTAACTAGATACACATACAGGTTAAAATTTAAAATAAAATTTAAAGCTTAGGCAAACTATGATTCATAGTTACTGTATTATAAATTGATAAAATGATATTGATTAAAAAGAAAAAAGTATCTACGGATACCTATACGGTCATTGGCTGTAGATAATGTACGTACAGCCTTATGAAATTTATTTTACCTACTTGCTTCATACATGGTTATTTTTCTGATAAGTAGGTAGCTACTGGTACTGATAAAAAATGAAGGAAAATCTAGAGCTACTTAAAATCTAAATTTATTTTCCTCATATTATTTTCACTATATAATTTTCTTTGTTTTAACTAATAGAGTATATACTAACATAATATATTTTTGAGAAACTATAGTGCTTTAAAATTCACTCTACACATATACATGTGCAATCTAGATGGCATATTCTTTGCTACATATTATAGTAATTATTTCTTTATGAATAGGGGTCGATTAAAAAATAAAATCGTTTTTTGTAGATTTTTTATACTGATGCCAGTTTTGAAAATTGATATTATTTGTACCAGTCGCAGCCACAATAGAAGTATGCCATCTCATCTGGAATACAAGAAAAAATTGTAATACCTTCATAATGACAACGCTTTGTCTAAACAATTTTATTAAGACAACCAAATTAACTGACAAAGTGTTTTCGTGAAGATAACCAAATACCTTTCCACTACTTAACGCTCTGCTACCAATAGTTTCGTGGAGATAACTAAATACTTTCCACCAATTCTCTGTTAATATTCTTTATTCAACAACATAAATCACGCTTAAAGCGTAAAAATATAAATTGTTGTTACAGTTGACATTTCACAAAACAATTAATTTTTTTTTAGTAATTTGATTATAAATTAATATTACAAATATCTGAACACAAAGTGTATTCACAAAACGTTAAAGGTTTTTCTAAGCATATAACAGGACTTTAAATATGTACAATGTCAGAAAATATTTGAGACCGCATTTTTTAAATTTTTCATTTCATGGTTGTTTTCCCAAATAGTGAATTAATAATTGACACACACACCTGACGTATACAGAACCTTCATAAACGGTTACAAGCCACGTGATCGGTAATTTTGTTTGGAACAGTAATTTTATTTCCTTCATGTTGGCTATTAAATTTCGGTAAAATTCTAAATTATTAAAATGATACTATCAAGAGTACATTAAAACATAACATTCTGTTTCACTGGCGGTGATTGGTGAAATTTTTCATGAGATTCTATTCAACCAATCAGCAATAGCATTATCTCGAGCGTCTACGCTCGTAACAGTTTGTCATTGTTCATTGTAAACAAACAAATCATTATCATTGGTTACGTCAAGATTTAGAGTTTTTGTTACCAGTACCAGCCCTGTAATGTTGGTTTTTTAACATCGGCAGTCACATGACTTATTAACATTCATGAAGACAGCGACAAAAGCGGTATAAAATCATAAACAGCATTTGCGGTGTCTGTATCTCCCTTACACCTGTGTGCATCTGTCAGTAGAAATTTTTTTCTGCAGAACTAAACAGATTAAATAAAAATGAAAAGTGGAAAAGTGCTTTTAACTAATGCAGTTCATTTTCATGAGTTCTGCTTTCTTATCACTGACAGTTTTTAGTACAAATTCAAATTATTTCTACATTTTTAATAATAAGATAGATTGTAGTAACAGTGAAAATAATAATGGTAGAAATAGGAATTTCTTTTTTAAATAATGCACAAAATCAGTTTTGCACAATATTATTTATAAAAATTTAATTATTATTTTCAGCATTCCGAACAATCTCAATTTTACAAAAAATATTTTAGGCGTTTTGGGTTGTTTTATACAGGGGTGGGTATCAATCATACCACTAGTGGCCTTGTTTATGTAAATACGTAAACAAGGCTAGTGGTTATATCTAAAATATTTATGATAGATAAAATGTTGAAAATTAAATTAAATTTCAAGTAAAAATAAGAAAACAACCGATTTTATTTATTTATGTTAAAATTTTTAAAACAAACGCAATCGACTATTTCATAACTTTACTCTGTAATATGTATACAAGGTGTCCGAAAACGAATGGACCATACAGTAAGGATAGCTTCTTTGGAAGAAGGTCCATTCTATTCTGGATACCCTGAACACAGAAGATTTTATCTTCTGTGCCCTGGATGTCAAGCCGGATAACTTTGAAACAGTCAAACATTTTTCTCAGAAAAGATGCGTTTCCAGTAATTTCAATTAAAGTTGGTACAGTTTTTATGCAAAATGAAATTATAGAAAACAATTACATAGACCTAAGCTCTAAAAAGTTATGAAATGTCACCTGGGTAAGGGCATAGCTAACGGCTTTTAGCAAATGGTCAAAAACTAATTACGGTGACATATTTAGCACTTTCAGAAGGTTACCTGTATCAAATTTCGATGTATTGTCTGATTTTTTGAAAAATATGTCAAACATTTTAACAATCTTAATAGGGAATTAAAGATAATTTTATACGCGTCTCAAAAACAAAAGGCGATACGCTCATGGTCCACCGAAAACATTCTTATTATTTTTAGATATTCTATCAATCTCAATAATAATTTGCGGTAACTTTTTCCAAAACAACGTTATCTGTTTACTATTCAAAAATCAGTGCTTTCTTGTGTGATATTCTGAAAAGAATCAAGTATAATACGCAAATATACATAGATACGTAGGTAGGTGTTTCCCCGGAGATTGTGCTTTTGTGTATAAAAGCCCGGTTGCGTGAAGTAAATTGTCAGTTACTTTCTGCGCATTTTACAAAAGAAGTAGTCCAGAATGGACAACAATCGTTCTAATCAATTGAATTCTAACAATCCTTCCTACTGGCAAAGTCGTGGATTTGACGACAAACCTTCGGACACTGACAGGTAATTTAATGAAATACTGTTAGGTACTTATAAAATATCTACATATAGGTAGTAAAAATAATGATATAAAATTGAAGAAAATGTGTCAATTACTTATAGTAAATGTATACCCTAGTCAGTCAGCAAAGTTAAGTTATCTGTAACTTTAAAAAACCTTTTCTTTTACTAATTTAAAAGTATAAACTACATGGTACAAGTGCAGTGCTTTTCCCCAAGTGGTCAAATGTTACTGTGCTGTCATGTCATTTTAACTTTTAAATGTAAAGTAAAATTTTAAAGAGAACAATTATTTGTCGACTAAACCAAATAGGTATATAACATATTTGTGAGTAATAATAAGGATTTTGATTAATTTTCAAGGTCAGCCTATTACTGCAGCCACCCAACACCTGACTATTCCAAAGCTGACATGGACAACAGATCCAATCAGCTTAATCCAAATAACCCTACATATCACAGCTCTAGGGGAGATTCTAAGAAATAAACATTAAAAGTAAGTACAATTATTTTCTATATTTAGTTTAAGTTTAAAAACAAAAACAGACGTTTTAAAAATGAATATCAAAAAAAATTGTTAAGAAAATTAGGCTCATTAAGATAAATATCAAGTGCAATATCGGTACATATGTTTGTCTAAAATTTACTCTATTGAGGAAAATAATAATCGATTTTATTCTCTATTTATTGTTTTTTTTTATAAACTGTTAATAAAATTCCTAAAATAAATTGATTTGTAGAGGACAAATTGCTTGGGGTTCACCAATAATTTTATTTTATCCATAAATTATTCAGAAAAATTATGTAGGTGAAATTTATACAGACGAAAAATGGTATTTTAAGCTCGTAAGTTGTTGAATTTGACGTAGGTATCACTTGACACAAAATCACAAAAAAAAATGTTCATGGTACAAACATCAAAAAATTATTTTAAATGTATCTATTATAATATTATTCAGTGGACGATGCATTTTTTTATTACTATATCCACAAAACATATAATACAACTAAACACTTAACCATAATTTAATGTTTCACTCTGCTATGTAGTTCACTAGCAGTTGATTTAATTCACAGCATATTAGTATATGGTGATTTAATTATCTGAAAAATTCGTGTAGTTGTTTCTGTTTTAACTGCCATATTATTATTCTATAATTAAATTTAGTTTTATAGTTTTTTTTTTCATTTTCAGATGCTGATTTCTTCAATACAAATCATTAAAGGAATATTTGCTTTTACAAATTAATGTAAACAATATTTTATCTATTACTTTATTTTTTGTTATTTGGGAAAAACAATATTTCAGCGATATTTATCATCTTGTACCAGATTTTTATGAAGCTATGTAATTATGTAGGTACATACCTAAATGAACGTTAAATAAGCATATTTACAAAAATGTTGACATTTTTGTGCATTGATGGTGGTAATCAGTGTAGTATGGGAAACAATCTGAAGAATTACATGGCTTGATAAAAAACTGGTATAAGACGATAAATATCGCTAAGTGGGTACCTATATATTTTTCAATTTGTACGTAATTCAAAAAATTAGGTGCATGTGTTGTTCAAATTAACAAGTATGTAAGTAAATGTAAATATCCTTTCAATGAATAAAATTTATACTGAAATTAAATGGTTTAATTATCCAAACAGAAGACAAACGCGAAGCCGATTTTGATATAAGTAAGGAGGACTTTTCACTTTATTCAGCTCCTTTTCTTCGATACTTAAATTCAATTTAGATTTGATTTCATTGAACAATTTAACATCTTAGTTAATTGAATACATTTTCCCACCGATTTGATTGTTCCTGTATGGTATTAATTGTATGGAGGGTTGCATACAACTAGTCGGTAGCATCGATGGTCTCGTCAGTAGTCATGATCCATGGTGCGTAAAGAGACGGTCGCCGTATACCTACGCCTCCACGGCGTGGGGTCACGCGGCAAAAAGCCACTTAAAGTCATTACAGGCCGTGGAAAACATAGCCCTCCGCACGGCCACCGACGCGCCCTGGTACGTAAGAAACTCTGATATTTTACGAGACTTACAATACACAAACGCTGCACAGACAATAAGACAAAACGCGGAGAAACGGTTTGACGTAGCCGCTAGACATGACAATCCCCTCCTCAGGCAAGCCGTTGACTACGTACCCGACGTGACCGACAAACACAAAAGACCTAGACACCAACTTTTTGACCCTGGGTGACCACCCCAATGACCCCCCCCCTGCCCGCTAACCTTTTCTGTTTCAGAGACAGCCAGGATCAAGAAACGAAGACAACGACACACACACACACACACACACACACCCCCCATACCCTCCTTAACCCTCCCCTCCCGCGCTAGCCTAAGGGCCACCTTAGCAAAGCGCATCCCAGGCTGCATAGCCGCACTACCCTACCCAACCATACCACACATAAACATGACACTACCCCCGGGGTTTACACAGACGAGCCGGCGAAGCAAGAAGAGCGCCAGAAGAAAGGGCCCTAGCCGGCGGGGCCCAGCCAGGACAAAAGGAGGTCCCACAAAGCGCCTACACCGGCCGCATTTGCGGTCGGGGTAGACGACGGATGGGGCCCACCTACGAAGGCTGTCCAGGCCTACACGAGATGAGGCAGGATAAAGAGGGATAATCCCCCTCGATCCCAAATCATTGAGGCCAATTTCTAGCCATGGAATAATGGCGCGGTCGCCGTATAAGTCAGTCAGCCAATAAAATACAAGATTCCTCAGTTTATCTTCGTCCAACCGTCATATCTTTCTGACTCATTGCATATCCATAAGAAAACAAGTTTAAACATTAGCAAATTTAAAACTGTCACATTTCTTGCGCCACACTTCAGACATGATCTTCTGATGATGATATAAAACAATTTATTTGCTATGCCTAAAGCACAGAATGTTATAACAACCACAAAATATATAAATACAATAACAACTACATATATTCTGTGCCTAAAGAAATCTTGTGACGTACCAAGTATTAGTTAAGCCACGCCCATAATTTCTGTCTATTACTGGCCGCCTTTTTTACGGATTGTGGTCACGATCTTGTTTAGAATACATTTACCACACCAACCGTTCACGCAGCATCCGTCATACGGCACGATAATTTATTCGAAACGTGAGTTAAATAGAATCGAATCGGATCTAACGTAACATGCAGATTAAAAACAATGCGCTAGTAGGTACGTTATTCGATATGTTCCAATAAAATAAGCGAACCCGTATTGTGTGAACGGGCTCTTAACCTAATTCATTTACGTCCTATGACGTCACCAGCCGCAAACCTAGAAAAATTATTTTATATTTGCTTAGAGCAGTAGTATATGTACAGTGTAGGAAAGTACCGATGGTCTATCAGAAGTTACGTGAGAGCGATAAAGTAAGCCATAGAAATCCATGTGATAGACAAGGATGGCTATCATGAAGGCGTCTAATAGTCAACGCCCATTTCGCCCTTCCACAAATAAGAAGTGGATCTTATTTGCGGAAGGGCGAAACGGGCGGTGACTATGTGAGGCCTTCATTATAGCCATCCTTCTCTATCGCATGGATTTTTATGGCTTAGGCCGGTGTCCCATGCATCCGAAATCCGATGTACGATATCTGAAAATATTTTAATTCGTACGAATGATAATATTATAATTCACATGCATCCGAAATTAATCTCATAGAAATCAAGTATAGAACCATGGAATTTATTACAAGATGAAGATGAAACATTTTCAAATGACAACCATAGGTATATATTATAGAAAATATACGTAATATTATATTTTCTACATTCGACATTATAATATAACATTTATTTGACTGTAAATATATCAAACAACAATCATAGTATGTTAAAAACTTAAAAAGTGAGGTTAAAAAACAAACGATTTCGGATAAAAGTTAAAATTATTTCTACTTTTTCCGACGTCGTATGAATTTTTAAAATTTTTGATGAAAATGAGCGGTAAAAATTTGAATGTATATTAACCAATAGGAACACTTTCGGACCTTCGTATCGTCGGAATTCGGATACATGGGACACCGGCCTTACTTTATCGCTCTCACGTAACTTCAGATAGACCATCGGTACTTTCCTACTCTGTATGCTCTAAGTATATTTGTGATACCGGCTCATGAGTTTGAAATGCGTGCAGCTACTGGTTGGTTTGTCAAAAATGGACTGCTGCTTATATGAGCAGCCAATAACGTTTGTGCATTCAAGGTTATTGGGATTTATAAAAATTTGAAAAAACATAATCAGTTTATCTATTTTATATATGGTGGTATATGGTAATATTTATATATTACTACTACATACTTTATGCATTGCATAAAATTCCAGAATTAACGATCGTTATCCAAAATGAGATAGATTAGAGATTTTGGATCGAAAAAGAATAACAAATATTTGAAAAAATTTGATTCTTGTTAGGTACATCTTGTCTTAAAAGGAATAATAAAACGTTAGATTTTTTCCTACCTACCCATTTATTAACAATCTCAAAATGTTTACAAATTGCTATAATTATATATTTTAACTAATCTTAAGTTTGATTTACCCGCGCTCAAGTAAGCTTATTGACATGTACCTAAATTCCAAACGCGCATGAATTTTAGTTGGGACAACGAATCACAATGCAGAATCATTGCATTTGCATTACACACCAAAAATACCCAGATCGTGTTTAGTTCCCACCCATCAAATAAAGTCTGCAGGGCAGTCAACCCCTTGGTTTTTCGGTGTTAAAGTATTATGTGAAATTTTGAGACTGAAGTGTTTTCATTACAAGGTCCGTGTGACTTTTTGTAGGATACCCACTGTTCGGACAATTTTTACTAGTAAGTTTTACTTATAATTGTTTTTGATCAAGTAATCTGTGGTCCGTTACCTGTGATAATATCCGGAAATAACAAATTACACATTTGAGTAGCATTTTCGGGAGGTGATTACCATTTAACGACAGATTAAGATTTGTCTAACCTACAAAGTCGAGTAGGTTCGTTGTACGCTCCCGTCGTGGTACATATTATTGATTTTTCTCAGTAACAATGTACTGTGAAACCTACATCTCAATGCAAAATTTCCGGTCCCTTCACCAGTAGTAATTCGTGAACTGACCAGATTACTAAGCAGCTTTCTGTCAGTTTATTTTAACCCATTATTTTAACAGTCTCGTGTTTTTTGTAAGCAAAATGCCTGCTCCAACGACAGTAGCCGAAAATGGGGCCCCCAGGACCGAATTGCAGGAACTTCAACTTCGATCCGGACAAGTCACTGATGAGGTAAGTCTAAATTGTCAGTATTTGTTTTAAGTGTCGTGCTTAAAGATTAAAGTTGAATTCAGATTAATATTATCTATGCAATTAAGCGGGGATTTTGGCCTTACATTTTATTAGTGTACAATCACATTCATGTGAATAATACACACTTATATCATACAACTTCAGGAAGTTGTTCTTTGGATAACTTTATTTCCAAAAATCTTAATTAAGTGAAGGCTTTAAAGCCACTAATTTTGCAGGACACTTATGGAATGTTGAAATTTAAAAAATGTATATAAAACAGTTTTTTTTCACAACAAAATGAAAGAAATATTTTTTCTTGACGGTACCTACTATTTCTAAAATATATAGCGATGTCGAAATTCAGGGGTTTTTGGCAGCGTTTTTCAATATCTCCGCCACTGGTTGACATTAGGGTTTATATTTTTAAAGAAAGATAATGACTAATATGCTTAATTTATGAAAATTTTAGAAAATTTTTCTAAGTGTTGAATGTTTACATTGAATACATACGTAAAGTTTACTTATGTATTAAAAGTACGAATTATATGTTTTTTAGGCTAAGAGTAATATTCTGAAAGTAAAATTTTATAACGGATTTCGCGTTTAAAAATTACTAACTGGTTTGTTATTCAAAATCATTTGTTGCAAAGTACTTAGGTATTAAAAGAAATTGTACAAATATCAGTGCATCTATACAGGGAGAATATTAGTAATTCTACCTATTTTTTCTTTAAAAGAAAAACATCTAGAGACGTCAACGATTGATTTGATCAAGTACTTTGGTGTAAAAATTATACCCACAGCATAACAAAGTCCTTTCATTTGACGAGTACCTTTTCAGTTTTCATATAAAACTATTTTAGTTTGTTTTGTTTGAAATTGTTGATTATTTGTGACCAGTGGCATACACAGAATTTTGTCATGGATACTCCGATTCAAGTAGTTATTGACGCCCTAGTGTAAACTGGAAAAAACTCAAAAAAAAAAAACATAAAAATATTAAGGGTGTTCCGAGATATGTGGGCAATCTCTCGGATCTCAGGAGACGTAAAAATAACATCACAAGTTTCTATAAAAATTTTCCCTAGAAGGCCCCCCTCCTACGGTTTTACAGTCCCCTAAAGGACGCCCCTGAAAATCGTTTTTCTATTAATAACTTAAAATACTTCGTGTAATTTAATTATTTTTAGGAAAAAACAAATGTAAATAAATGTGGCATTTTTTTAGATAGGTACAGAAAAGATGCATTTCATCGGTTTATTTCCCTTTACGGATGTAATAAAAATCATATTAGACAAGTTTTTCTCGAAAACAGTTAATTTTATGTATCTGTTGTCCATCGTATTAAAAAATAATTAAATTACACTAAGTATGTATTTTAAAAGTTATTAAAAAAATCGATTTTCAGGGGCGTCGTTTCGGTGCCTGTATCTCCGTAGGGGCCATCTAGGGAAAATTTTTATAGGGACTTGTCATGTTATTTTAATGTCCGGTGTATAAATCCGAGAGATTGCCCACATATTCTGGAACACCCTGTATAATATCTGGATGGAACTATGTAATGTAATATTATTTCACTAATGATAGGAAAATTGCAAACTATCGCTTTTTTTTTCATTTAATCATATTTGAAATACTGATATGGCCATAAAATAAAAGTTGATTATCGTAGCTATCTTTAAAATAGCAAAAGAATAGGGAAAACCTTCACCATTGTAATCGGGATGATGTCTTATGCCTAGAGATTGATTTTATTCTTTATAAACAATTGAGTTACACGGCAAAATAAAAAACGTATTTTCCAATTATTCGTTATACTTCAAGAATTAGTTGGAATAGGTATATCACATTCGATTTCTGGCAAAATTTCAGCGTAATATTGCGCAATATATATATTGCATAATTTACGATGTTCTTATAGCCATTAGACTAACTTTGTATTATCTATTTATTCTTTCTTCCTCTGATTTTTGTTTTTTCTGTTTATTTGAATATTTTGCCATCCATGAAACCAATTAAAAAATTGATGAAAAATACCCCTGTGTCAAAAGGGTTATCCAAGGTAATTTTTATAAACTAGCTTTGCGTAATCAAACATCAATTTCTTATTTGTCAGATCTTTTTAGTGTGAGATTTTGGTGTGGCAAAACCAGATTTATAAAAACAACCCGTGACTTTTCTTTCAGAATTGCAAAATATTCAAAAATAAATAATTTCTATTCAATTTTTTTGTATTACCTATCTAAAAGCTTGATATTTTTTGACGATGAAAAGCGTATCCCTGACTGATTAGTGATTATGTACCTTAGTAACCCATTCAATTTTTAGCATAATAAAATGCCGCTAATTTTATAATATAACTAATGTTTTTTTTTTCAGTCGTTGGAAAGCACGCGGCGTATGCTGGCCCTGTGCGAGGAGGTAAATATGTTCGTTGTTACTAGTTCAATGTGTCTCTATGTTTAAGTGTACTAAATCTTAATCTTCAGCCAGATATTTTTTCATAGGTGACATTAATTTAACAAATTCTTCGTTGCGTTGATTTTTTTGATGGGGAAAACTGGAGAAGAATACTTTTTTTTGTTTATTCTATTTTGTAATTAATCCATCCTTCTATATGCTCTAAATGTTTTAGCCTTTGTACAATTGCTCGAGATTACCGAAAATTTGGAGTGAGGAAAATTCTAGGAAAATATTTTGTTTTATACTAGTAACCATAAACACCGATTTTATTCCCACTTTATGGCATGCTAAATAATTTTTACGTTAATCATGAAGATAAACAGATAAGATAAACATGGGTAACATCAGTTTTTTATCTACTTATGCATCTAACAACTTACATAGTTTTACACAATCAAAGAAAATCATCATTAATGTTAATGAATTTATTAAAGTCCAAGTATACAGTCAAATTTTTTTATTGTAATTACTTCGTTAAGTTTGAATATTAATGTTTGTTTGATTTGATACCCACTTCTAATAATTTTAATAATTGAAACTACTACTGTACCTTCTACTTGTTTGACGACAATAATGGGATTGAGAATTATAAAGAAACATACGTAAAATAGTGTATGCTGCTTATTATCTTCTATTATAGCGGCTACTTGCGTCTATTAGAGAATGATCTGTTGGTGGCGAAATGGCTTTGGTAGCTAAGACTTTACAGCGAAGAGAAAAAAAGGCAACTAATAAATAATTGCAAAAGGATCATGACCAATTTAAATCATGTTTAACGATTTTTATCACCAACACATTATATCTTCAAAAAATATGTAACCATATTTCACTAAACTGTTGAAAAATTAAAGTCAGCTCGATTCATAAAGTGACGTCAATTTTGTGTGTAATATACAAAATTGACGTCACATTTAATTATAGAGTTCGTGGGAAATTTTGTAAAAACTGCATTTTCGAAATTTGAAAATTTAAATTTGTAAGTTTCTAGCGATGTCTGAAATTTTAGAGACATATTACCAATTATAGGATCCAGTAAATGACGTATTCATTCAAATATTTACTTTGAATAAACAGTATCGAAGTTAAACATACCATTAAAACGGTAAGCAAACTGACCCGAGGCACCTTTACTTGTTTAGCGTTAGGTACGCGTCATATCGATTTTTCTACCGGAGCAAGTGTATTATATGCACTACGAGTATTACATATATGTTATGCCATCGCAAGTTTTAACTTATACGAGAGTTGCCTTTTATATTTCTGGGATGGACGGCCCTGGAGCTGTCATTTGACAACCGACGTCTCTATCCTAAAGTTTGACTTTCTGTCGGTATACTATTCAGACCATTTTGATCGATGAACTTAATTCGACATTTGGCGATCAAGCACCATAAAAAAACCACTGTACATCGGTGCTATACGGAATTAAATCGTCACCGTGATTTGTTCACTGACGAATTTCGTAAAAGTTGTCTAAAATTGGATGTTGTTCCAGAAAACATAGATGGAAGCTGTGCGTGAACTGAAGATCGTCATGCTATCGTGAGATTGAGGCATGCTTGGGTACCTTTATATATTCAATATTACATGGCGCCAAAAAAATTTGTTCGCGTTGGATCACACTAGTTAGACAAATTGATCGAACGTAATTCTAAAGAAATACGATAGCGGAGCTTCAAAACACGTCTTTGACATTGTAATTAGTGACAAATTACATTATGGATCTATGCGTATGAGTACGAAAGTAAACAGCAGTCGGCTGTATGACTCTTTCAAGATGAGCTAAATCCAACGAAGCACTTCTAAGCAAATGATGGCCTGTCTTTTCGAAAAAACCGGACATATGGTACAACGTCGGCGGTCAATTCTGAATGGTACACAACCATTTGTTTGCCAGAAGTCTTTGGAAAAATAAGGGAAACCAATCTTCGTAGTCGTATCATTCTCCACCAGGACAATATGACTTTTTTAAGAACTGAAAGAGTCGAATGGATGAGTTATCCGCCATACAGCCCTGATCTGGCAATCAATGTCTTTTTTTTATTCCTGCACATCAAAAATAAATTACGAGGTCAACGTTTTTTGACGCTTGAAGAAGCGATTGATGCGTTCAAATGCATGTTTTTGAGGTACCTCAATCGGAATGGAAAAAGTGCTTTTAAAATTTGTTCAAGCGCATGCAAAAGTGTATTGATCTACATGGAAAATATTTTGGAAAACAATAAACCACATGCGATGATTAATTTCTTTTTTTGTGCTTAATTCCCGAAATATAAAAGGTAACCCTGGTATTTATTATTGCCCCATTAGAGCTAGTGTAAATTGTTTTTATTAATTTGACTTGGAAGTCGACAGAAACTATAATAGCACTTTGGCATGTTTACTGAATCGGTTAAATATCGACATTCACAGTATACGGTAACTGTGTGCATAAATACAACTATTCTACAAATTAAATAGAATAATTTAATGAGTTATATCAATTCAACTAGTGTATGTTTGTGTGATTATTAGATATTATCGATATATGTTTATAGATTGATAAAAGTGGGTTGTGTGCAATGTCATGGTTAAATACATTTCTCTGTGTGGTGAGTTGCACATAACCTCGCCTTTAATAATTTTTACCGGAATAAACCAAATCAACTATTAGGTCATGATGTTAACCTTGTTGCGGTCATAAATTAATTTTAAAACGTATTAGATTAGTGATTGTATGCGTCTAAGTAAAAAGTGTAATTGCAAACTAATTTTGGCTGCTATTACTACGTGAGCGTCTCTACTAAAAAAAAGACAATCGTATAAAAACAAAATATTTTCCATTTTTCATTTTTATACCCTCTAAATCAATAAAAAAAATAAAAATAGAAAAACTATGTTTTAATATATCTAACTAAAATTAAACTTATAAATTTTAACCGTGGAAATTTTAGTCAGTAATAAAAAAGTGAAAGTTCTAAAAATTGCGTAAAAGATAAAGAAAAACTGATATAATATTAGTCATTTTTTATTCTCGATATTTTTAACCTCTCCAATTAACAAAGTTTTTACATCAGCATTACCGTTACATTATCAGGTGGTATTGTTAAGTTTACTTATCTACATCACTGGATTGAGTCGACTCTTTTTTCACGTTGAATGTCGTTTTGGTCAAGTTTTATGTATACATATAAACGTACGTTTCAATATTTTTATTTGTTTGTTCAGAAAATATGTATTTGACCACATAATACAGACACAGGTCTAAATTTATATTTCTGTCACAGTTATACCAATTAATATTTAATGTCATGTGCGGAATACAAAACAGAAATTATTAATTCATACAAAACATCCGTTATATTTTTCTGAACATTAGACATTTTTTTAACTTTAACACACTGTAAGTCAAAAATGATGACTTTGAGTTTGAATGATTAGGTATCTAAATTATTATAAAATTTTGAGGAAAACGTTCTTTAATTTTTGACTCTTGTTGAGTTACATCTTGCAGAAAATACATGATATGGAAAAAAAATCAGAGCCACGGTTTCACTTTATACGTTTAATTTTCCTTGTTCTACTTAAGTAATTTGGAACTACTAAGAAACAAGAAACAAACGAGCAAAGTAGTTATTGTACAAAGGTTAACTAGATGTTTCTCTGTGCTGCATGCGTGCACTTTCTATCTGTCCTGTCCAAATCAAAAAGTATTTACCCATCCGAGCAGAGCANACCAGCGAAGTAAACTCAAAAAAAGAGGACGGGACATCGATATCAGATTTTTTGTATCTATCACCGTTTTGGCTGTACCCTATAAAACTATCGAAAATCAACCACCCTGTACATCGGTGCTATACGGAATTAAATCGTCACCGTGATTTGTTCACTGACGAATTTCGTGAAGGTTGTCTAAAATCGGATGTTGTTCTAGAAAACATAGATGGAAGGTGTGCGTGAACTGAAGATCGTCATGCTATCGTGAGATTGAGGCATGCTTGGGTACCAGTATATATTCAATATTACATGGCGCCAAAAAAATTTGTTCGCGTTGGATCACACTAGTTAGACAAATTGATCGAACGTAATTCTAAAGAAATACTATAGCGGAGCTTCAAAACACGTCTATGACATTGTAATTAGTGACAAATTACATTATGGATCTATGCGTATGAGTACGAAAGTAAACATCAGTCGGCTGTATGACTCTTTCAAGATGAGCTAAATCCAACGAAGCACTTCTAAGCAAATGATGGCCTGTCTTTTCGAAAAAAACGGACATATGGNCTGACGAATTTCGTAAAAGTTGTCTAAAATTGGATGTTGTTCCAGAAAACATAGATGGAAGCTGTGCGTGAACTGAAGATCGTCATGCTATCGTGAGATTGAGGCATGCTTGGGTACCTTTATATATTCAATATTACATGGCGCCAAAAAAATTTGTTCGCGTTGGATCACACTAGTTAGACAAATTGATCGAACGTAATTCTAAAGAAATACGATAGCGGAGCTTCAAAACACGTCTTTGACATTGTAATTAGTGACAAATTACATTATGGATCTATGCGTATGAGTACGAAAGTAAACAGCAGTCGGCTGTATGACTCTTTCAAGATGAGCTAAATCCAACGAAGCACTTCTAAGCAAATGATGGCCTGTCTTTTCGAAAAAAACGGACATATGGTACAACGTCGGCGGTCAATTCTGAATGGTACACAACCATTTGTTTGCCAGAAGTCTTTGGAAAAATAAGGGAAACCAATCTTCGTAGTCGTATCATTCTCCACCAGGACAATATGACTTTTTTAAGAACTGAAAGAGTCGAATGGATGAGTTATCCGCCATACAGCCCTGATCTGGCAATCAATGTCTTTTTTTTATTCCTGCACATCAAAAATAAATTACGAGGTCAACGTTTTTTGACGCTTGAAGAAGCGATTGATGCGTTCAAATGCATGTTTTTGAGGTACCTCAATCGG